TTTTCATTTTCTCCTCTTCTTATATTTGTCTTCTTTGTGCCAGTAGTTATTGTGTTTTTGTCTCTGATATGCTGTAATAATAATAGTATACTATATTATGTACCCATTATGTGCTAAGATTTTGCATGTATTACTTTTAATCCTCAGGACAACTCTGTGAGGACATTATTATTATCTCTATTTTAGAGATGAGGGAATTGATACTGGTAAGATGCCCAAGGTCACGCAGCAAGTAAGAGCTAGGATTCAATCCAAGGTCATTCAGACTCCAACTTCCACATTATTTTCACTATACCATATTGCTCTCCATATGAACTTTTCTTCTTTTTTTTTGTTAGCTTTATTTATATTTTTAATGTTTTAAACAGTGGTTTCTCTCAAAGTGCCCCAAGTCTTGGGTGAAATTAACTGTGGGAATCACTGCAGGAACAGCAGAGAGACTAAAATGGGGAGTATGGTGAGTGAAGAAAGTAGATTCCAGAGAGTGTCAAGAATGAGGCAATCTGAGATCTGACCTTTTAATGGCCAGAAGACCTCAAATCTTGCAGAGTATATCAATATAAAGGGTAGTCTCTAGTGATCTGCTCCAAGACTGTTTTATTGACCATGTTATAATCATTATATTATATCAATAACTTAGATGAAAAATGTAGAGAGATGGCAAATATTTTTAGCATAGACTGAGGATCCAAGAAGATTTTAGCATGCCACACCAATGGCTCAAATCTAATAAAATGAATCTTACTGAAACAAAAGGAAAATTCTGAATTCGGTTTCAAATTAAACTTTACAAGGACAGGGTGGAAGACATGAGTAAAGAAGTAATATTGTGGTAGTGGCATAATGATGTCATAGCCAAAAAGGTAATGCTATTTTAGGCTGCATTAAAAGAAGCGCATTAGCTAGAACAATATATGTGGTGATGTTCTTGGCATTTATCAGATTGTTTCAGTATCTCTTTGTTCAGTTCTGATGACCACTTTTCGATAAGGATATGGACAACTTGGCATGTGCTCTGAGTAAAGTAGATAGGATGGTTGGCTGCATGAGTGGCAAATGGAACCCAGTGAGATGGATGGATGGATAGGAGATGCAATATCTGTCTTTAGCTATGTAAGTGGCTGTTACATAGAAGATGGATTATACTTGGGCTGTATAATCCCAAGGCAGGGAGAACTCAGATAAATGGGTAGAAACTATAAGAAAGTATATTTTGGCTTTGTAAAAGGCCAGACTTTTTATAGTCAGAATTGTCCAAACATGCAAATAATTATTTTTGAAGATAGTGAGTTCCCTATCACTGCCTAGAGAATTCTAAACTGGATGGGACCTTGGCAATCAACTAGTCTAACCTCTTCACATTGTAGTTGAAGATCAGAAGGTCCAATGTTGCATGGCTGGTAAATAAAAAAGTCAAGGCCCAGGCCTCCAACTGAGAGTTTTTTATTCCAAGTCCCCTTTATTTTACACGAGGTAGCATCAATTACTGGGAGATAAGCATGAGACAGGGATAATTTGAAGGGAACTTAAGTAGAGGAACATTAGGTGAATGTCTGATGAATTCCCCTTTCAACTGACAGCTGTTATTCTATGATTCAAATAAATTTCTTTGCCTGACTAGTTTCAGCTCAGCTTAGGTGGTTATTTGATCAGTGCAGTTTAATACCTAAAAGGGTAACAAAACTATCAATTCCACTTTATGTTATAAACAGGAGGATAGTTCTTGGGGTTTCGACGTCCCACTTTCTGCCAGTACAGCTGATCCCACTTGTGTACTAGCTTTTTACCTTCAGAATCTCAAGGGACTTTTCCCCATTAAGCCTTTAAAATTACTGACTATGGACTAGTGAACTCTGTGATGTGGAACTACTTCTGTATCCTCAGAGAGACCTTATTCTTCATTTCATTGTTGCCACAAAATGAAATGGTTTCAGAGGTGTTTTGGGTATCTGTGGTTACATTTTGTGGCTGCCAGGATTTGTTAAGGGGTGAAGAGAACTCCCCAAAAGGCAAGAGTAATTGACAAATCATAAATTATAGGATTTCAATTACAATCATTCACTTGGTTGTCCCTCCCTTTTCCTATCCAGTGGGCTGAAAAGGCCTTGTGTTGCCATATGGCCTCTGGGCTGTTGATGTGGGTCAGGCTGTCACGATTCAAGGGATCAGCCCTTTGAGATGTGTGACTGAGGCTGTAGGAGTGAAGGGGAGTTGGAATTTGTGGTTAAATGATTTCCTATAGGAGCTGTAGTCATCTCCTGGGAGGTGCTGTTTTGAGGTTGGAATTCTTCCAGGTTGAATATTCTCTTGGATTCCGTGGCATAGTTGAAACTGATGTTAGTGTTTAGCCATACAGTGGTGGAGCAGTATCTGACAAGGACATCTCCATTTGTAGCTTGTATTTGCCAGCACAATGGTGAAGGAAAGTAATGTTGATCTCAAGTAAAATGTCGAGGTTTTTTTTGGTGTCCTGAGACTCTGCTTTCTGTAGCCTCTTCTCTCTCTCTCTGTGTGTGTGTATGTGTATGATAGAGAATGAGAGAGAGACAGAGAGCCAG